GCGATGGGCACAACGCCCAGCAGCATTTTTTGTTCATGTTGAACAAGACTCGCTCTCGGTATCGCCGCGGACGTTGTTGATTTGAGGCAGAAGGCCCGATGCCCAACATCGGGTTGCTTTGTCTTGGCTCGTGCCTTCTCGCTCCTCTGTGTGCCTGGCTGATTCGGCCGCCGCGCGCGGCCCTGGCTGACGCTGCGGGCCAGTGAGGCTCCCAGAGCTTGCGGCAGAGCAAACACAGGACAATCGGCGGTTAAAGGACGGGGCCCTGAGCGATGGGGCCCAGAGGATAGGAACAGCCCATCCTTCAGGGTCTCAGCTCTGAATAGGCAGTGTAGAAGCCGGAATCCACGAGCTTCGTTTGCAGGTGAGCGGTTACAAGCAGGTCCTGGCTGGTGCAGCGCCGTGTCGCCAGCTTGCCGCTCTGCGGTGATATCAATATGTCTATACCGTGCTGTGGGGATACGCGCGCATGCACATCGTGACTGTGCTCATGACCACAATCATATATATATATAGAATGCACAGATGCATGTGTATGTATATACGCAAATGTGCGTTTGCTTGAAATTATGTGTTATGTGTATGTAGACTTCTGGTGGCCTTCGGTTCATCCCGCTACCGTGCCTTGGATGTAGGTCGGAGGCCTCTGGATGTCTGTGGTATTCTTTTGAGGATCTTGTTCGGAAGCCTCCTGGAAATGGTGTTGGGGTGTCTTTGGGGACGCTCGTCCAGCAGTTCCCCGTCCTCGATCCTCACAGGGCGACTGGTTCGCAGGCGGCTTCGCGCCCCCCATCCCCGAGGTCCCCTCCCACAACAGCTGCCGCTCAGAAGACAACCACAAGATCGGGGATGCACCCACAGGGGGGCTATTCGGACGCACCGCCATCGAGGATTAACGACACCCGCTGGGCCCTAAAATTATGGCCTGATCGCAACCCGACAAGATCCTACCCGCTATTTGGTGGCCACATGTGCTTTCGCGCTTGGCACCAGCGTGACGTGAGTTCACAAGTCAGTTTCATCGAACGAGGTTTTGTTTCAGTTCGATTCGCCAGTCGAAGGCCCTGGAAGGACCGTGGGATGGATTGAGGAGGAAGGTTTCGGTGACAGTTCTCGCACGTGTTTGGAGTAACGGTTATGCTGGTATCCATAGGTTTTGTTGAAATGTGTTCGGGAGTTACCGGGTGCCCCTGGGGGGGAAAAGGGAGGACAGAAGAGACGGAGGTCCCTTCCTCTTGCCTCCCGTACCCCCCCCAGCCCCCATCCCCCATTCCCAGACCTCCAACGCCTAGACCCTTTCAATACGTGGCCTCCTGGATGTGCCGACCCCTCCCCCCAGGGCAAGTGCGTCACCCCTCCGCCTCCACCCTCGTCCTCCTCCTCCTCCTCCTCCTCCTCCTCCTCCTCCTCCTCCCTCTCTTCCTCCTCCCCTTCCCCCCCACAGGAGTGCTCCTCATCCCTCTCCTCCTCCCTGGCCTGGCCAGGGCCTCCCTCCCTCGAGCCCCGACATTGACCCGATCCCCTGCCGAACTCGTGCCGCGCACTTCCCTTCCCCCCTTCCTGTCCGAAGGGCATCCGGCGGCCGAGAGAGCACGACCCAGGGAAGGTGTACCTCGCGCCACTTGGCCGAGGGGTGGCATGCGTCGTGGTGCCAGCGTCTCTAGGCGCGGGCCAAGCTCAGAAGCCGAGTTCTGAGGCTCGGACGAGATTGCAGCAGAAGTCTTCAGCAGTTCGCAGGAGTTGTGCATGCCGATGCCGATGCCCATCCTCAGTACGCATTCAAGTTTTTGGGCCCCTCTACAGGGGGAAAAGTAAAATAGTCCGGGGACGATTCTTTTGACAATTTTCTAGTATTTTAGGGCATTTTTAGAGTATTTTTAATTTTTCGTGTGAAATCGGCCTGTAGGGGGACAGGCTCGACCTAAACCCAGACCGCGATGGCACGGGTACGGATCTGCTCGCCGCTCGTGGCCAGCGGCAAGTTGTCGTCCGAGGTGGCTCCAGGGCCCGAAGAGGCCTCCGGAGGGTCGAAGCCGAGGAAGAGGAGTGCCAGGATTGGAGGCATCAGTCTGCCGGAAGGCTTGGCGCCTGGCCGCGTTCTGAGTTGCGGGCGTCGCGTTGCACTCTGCGGCCCTCTCCCGCCCCGCCGCGTCTTCAGAAAAGCCAAGCCGGAATTGCCAGCAAGCGCGTTTCGGGTCGTCTGGATGCCACCCATCGAGTCTGGCGTCTGAAGTCTTGCCTGGAGTCCCTCGGGGGCCCGCACTGTTTCCCCTACCATCCACCCCCCACGCAAGCAAAGATGCCGGGGCCAGGCGAAGAAAATCAGCTTCTGGGAGCTGCGGGGGCACTCCGTGTGCATCCCTGGCACCTGGTGCAGTCAAGGCCTCGACTACCTGCTCTTGCGCCTCGTTTGGGGCTTTGGGGTTTCTTTTTGGCCAGGGAGGGCCGTGGTACTCGCGCGCGCGCGCCCCGCGCAGCGCGCCAGCAGGGCAGCCAGAGGCCAAGATTACGAGCCCTTCCCTCGCCCTCGCTTTGCCCTCATACCGAGGCCTCGGGAATGTCGTTTTTTTTTTTTTTGTTTTTTTTGTTTGAATTTGGCGTGCGCACAAGGTCACAAGGGGGTGGCGCGGGGCGGGGTGGCCCTCGAAGAAGGCGGGGCCTTTCTTTGCAGGCAAGGGCTTTCTTGGAAGTGCCCGGAGGCGTCTACGAATGCTTCTTAGGGAAGGCTGGTGGGCTTGTAAGAAGGCCTCTGCTCTCTCAGAAGCTCTCCCGCCCTCTTGGAAGGCCGCCCCCACGGTTTTTCGATGACCATTCGGGCACAACTCCGTCGAGATGCTGTTCCAGACGCTGCGAGGCCTGGGTAGATCGGCTCAGGCGGGGACGTATCGACCCCCAACCGCTCAATGGATCGCCGATAGGGGCCCGATGGCCCGATAGCCTATCCCTCCCAGGACCATCTCTCGGGGAGCCGATATATCGGCGATGCATCGCCGATTCAAGCTCGAAGTTTCCCCTCTGATCTGCTCCCCCCTCTTCGTTCCGCCTTACCTGGGATCCCTCCCCGCCCGCCCAACAGCCCTGCGACCACTTAAGAACCCCATTCCTGCAGATTCAATCGGCGCTGGGGCATCGGACACCCCCGCTGGTGTTCACTTGTCTTCAGACAGTCTTCAATTCCCAGACATCAGATGTCCAGCCTTTTTCATTACGGGATTTCCGGAAGTCCGGATCCCTTCCCATGGACCGGTTCTTCATCCCAGGTGGTGTGTTGACGGCCCCGAGGCCCGTCAAGAGCCCCCCGGGGCGGGAACCGGCCCGAACCCTCCCGTCCAGATGTTGGCCGCGACGCGAGCCCGTCGGCGTGTCTGGCCCCCGCAGTGTGCTGCAGGGCTGTGGCCTGCGGGGGGCAGGGCTCGCACGTGTGGCTTCCCGAGCAGCAGCCCCGGACAGCGGCGCGTGGGCAACAGGCGAGCTCGGCGGCGAGGCTCCCCGCCCCCCCCCGCGGCCCGCCCGCCCGCCCGAGGGCCAGCCCGCGCGTGCGCGCGCACCGCCGTCGTCGTTGGCGTCGCCGCTCGGGACTCCTTGCGAGAGCCTTGCGGCCAGTGGTGCACTTCGTCCCGTCCGTTTTTTGCAAGGGATTCGTGAAAAAGTGTTATGTTCGAACAAATGATGTTCCCGCGTATCGTTTTTGACAAAGGGAATTTCAGAAGGGGGTCGACACCGGCCCCCCAGGGATAGTGTAAATTCATATTTAGGATGGACATGTGGTCATACTCGTATTTGATTTACATACCCGAAAAGGGGGACCGATAAAGCCAGGGGGGGGTAGAGTCTTTTTAGACATGAGAATCGATGTGATGCAATCGATGCTGTGCAATCAACGGTATGACTCATTGGTTGTGCAATTTGCGGGGTGCGACCTTTGAGGTGCATTCTATGTGATGCAATCCATGTGGAGGAATTTATGTGGTCCAGTGTATATTGTGCAATCTATGTTGTGCAATCTTTGCGGTGTTCGATGCGTTGGGCACTTCATTGTGTGCATTCTACGTGGCTCAGTATAGGGTGCGCAGTATATGGGGTGCAATATACGTGTACACTCTATGTGGTGCAAACTATGTGCTGCAAATTCTGTTGTGCAACCTATGTTGTGCAACATCTGCGGTGCAATTCAAGTGGTGTAATCTATGTGGTGCTGTCTGTGTGGTGCAATATATGTGGGATGGAGAGGCGACGGCGACAGCACCCGCCAGACCGCCACACAGGCCCAGACGACGAGCGGCGACGAGGCGGTGTCAAAGGGGCGACGGCTAGACCATAGCCGCCGGGCCGCCACACAGGCCCATACGACGGGCGGCGACGGGGCGGCGATGGCGACAACGTATCCGCCAGACTGCCACACTTGCCCAGACGACCGGCGGCGACGGGGCGGCAACGGGGCGTCGACGGCGACAATCTAGCCGCCAGACCGCCACACCAGCCCTGTTCCGTAGTAGTCAGTGAGAATCCCAATCTTCAAGACGTGGGCCTGGCATCGCTCGGACGCGTACATTTTTCCTTCAGCGAGGACCATCGAGGAGCATCCTTGATCATTTGGCGAAAAAGCCACGCACGAAACCGAACAAAAACAGGGAATGGACGTCCGATCGATGGCGAGTGGGACGCCTTCTAGGGCACCGCTAGGAGGCGATAGGTCCAGGGAGGGACGCATCGACCCCCGACCGCCAGCTTGTCGCCGCTGGGCGCCCGTGCGGACTCGCTATCGGGGCCCCGCCGCCGCCCTGTCGGCGTCGTACCGCCGATGCCGGGTCCATGTTCTGCCCCTCCCGCCCTCCTGGGGGCTGGTCCCCCCTCTCCTAGCCGTTGCCCCTCGCGTCCGGGCCCCTCCTCCCCGCCTCTTCCAACTCTCCCTCGGCTCGCAGCGGGTGGGCGGGTGAGCTGGCTCCCTGCCGTCGTTGGTGCTTCCGCCAGGGCTGGCGGCGCCCGGGGCGCCCTGGACGATGGCCGCCGGGGCCCCGAAGGAGGGCCTGCTGAGCGCGAGCGTCGCGAGGCACCGCTGGGCCCCAGGGCCCTTCGATGGCCGAGGATCGAGGGCGATGACGGTGACGGAGGACGGCAACGGCGACGACTGGGACGGCGGCGGCGTCGGCGCCAACCACGCCGATCGACGATCAACGGCGACGACCGACGGCGACGACGGCGACCGACTACGACAGAGCAAAGACGACGGCGACGGTCGCGTGGGCGTCGATGTCGACGCCCTGGGCGCGGCTTGTTTCTGAGAAGGGCCTGGGGCCCGTACCTGTCGACTCCTTCCGGGGCTGCTTTTAGTACCCCGAGCTATCAGCCCAGACATGCTATGATTGTTTCTGTGCGGGGTCCCCCGAAGTCCCGACCCGTGCCCTGGGACCGATGCTTCATCCCGAGCCGTTTCGTGGACGGCCCCCGAGCCCGGCAAGGGCCCCCAGGGGGGTCGACACGGCCGAGCTTCCCTGGTCTTCGGTTCTTCAGAGCTCGAATTACCTACCCCGCTTTCGCTTCCGGGCAACACCAGGTCGTGCCACGCGCCTCCTCGTCAAGCGGCCTCGCCAGTGCAGGCCGTAGTTTGGCATCGCTTGGTATCTCTTGGAAGCGAGGGTGGTCCAGAGCGAGGCATGTCTGTTTTTAACGGGCGAAGAACGGCATAAGATAAACTGTTTCGCTGTCGGGGGCGCCTGTCCCAGGGCGGCTGGAAAGTTTCTACCCCTACGGTGGCACCGTAGGGGTATAAACTTCCCAGCCGCCCTGGGGCTGGCGCCCCCGTCGGCAAAACAGTTTATCTTATACCGTCCTTCGCCCGTTAATGGAAGCGAGGGTTGCCCAGAGCGAGGCATGTCTGTTTGCCCCCTGAGCTCTGCCTCGGCGCGGGAGCGCGCCCTGGGAGCACCCTCGGGCCTCGCGGCGGGGGCACCGAAGGCCCGCGGGCCGCGCCCGCCGGGAGCGGCGCCCGCGCGGGGGCGGTGCTGCTGGCCGCGCGGGCGTCGGAGAGCGGCACCGCTTGTGTGAAGTCGGGCGTGTCCCCCTACAGGGAGATTTTCGACTAAGAAAAAATACCCCAAAACTATTCGAAAATACCCCCAAAAAGGTCAAAAAGTGTTCAAATATACCCCCAAAAAGGTCAAACACTATTCAAAACTATTTAAAAATAAAAATACCCCCAAAAGGTCAAAATTACCCCAAGGGGATTTTTCGACGAAAAGTTAGAAATATTAGAACAATATTCCAAACTTGTCAAAAATGCTAAAACATACTCCCCAGACTATTTTTGGACTATTGTTTAACTATCTTTGGGTTTTCTATTTTTCGTCGAAAATCCCCCTGTAGGGGGACAGGCCCGACTTAACACTTGTGCAGGCCTTCGCCCCCCTCGGCGACGGAGTGCACAGCTAGGCAGGCCGCCCAGATGCAGAACTCCGCGTGCACGTAACCGCGCGGAGAGTTCTGTACTGTCCACAGCAGACGAGTCGCCCGGCTGGCCTGGAAACTAGAGTTCACTCGGGCCTGTCCCTCTACAGGGGGAAGATTCAAACATGGCAAAAAAATAGTCGGGGACAATGTTTGGAGCATTTTTTTGCCATTTTGGTGCATTTTTGGGGTATCTTTCTTTTTTCGTCGAAAATCCCCCTGTAGGGGGACACGCCCGACTTAAATCTAGGCCGCCCAGATGCAGAACTCCGCGTGCGCGTACTCGCTGGTTGTTGAAAGTAGGTTTTGTTGGATTCCCAGATCCCAATCTACTTCAAGCGCCTTCCTACTTCAAGAATCGCCATGATTGTGCTGTGTTTTGTTATTCTCTGGGAGGGCCTGGACCCAATCCACTATATCCGCCTTCCTACTTCATGCTTTTTCCTACTGCTTCCGACCAGCGTGTAACCGCGCGGAGAGTTCTGTACTGTACACAACAGACAAGTCGCCCGGCTGGCCTGGAAACTAGGGTGAACCCTTGGCGGTGACCGAGCACAAATTCTCCAAGGAAGGCGCCAGAGGCACCCACCGTCCACACGTTGGGTTTTCGTACTTTCTGCGATGTTCTTGCATTCCTGCCTGGCAAGTTTCGATCGGCTGCGCCTCGCTCAGAGAGTTCTGGGGTGCCCAGATCGTCCCGAACGGCCGTTGGAAATCCGAGTTATGACCTGAAATTTGGACGACGAATGGGTCCTAGTCGATGGGGTCGGAAGCTCGCGCCGCATCGCCGATGCACGGGCGATGCCGCCCGATGTGGAGCCTGTTTTTCTCCACGCTGGCGTCGCCGATGCATCGCCGATGCGGCGCGATCCTCTGACCCCATCTATTCGGACCCCATTTGCGAGGACGAGCACGCGGGGCCTTCGTGGCCGACGGCCAAATGGGGCCCAGTGCTGGGTTCCCGGAGGCGACAAGAGTTCAGGCGCCTCGATTCTTCCAAGCGCCCCAGACATTCTTCAGGCGCCTTCGAGTGTCAGGTCGGTGCTGCGGGGACGAAGATCGACATGACAAGGCGGGCTGCTGTCAGGCAGCCCCCCCCTGGGCAGTCGTCCCAGGTGGTCCCTGCTGGCCTCAACAGGCCCCAGGAGGAGTCCAGGGCGGTTTCAACACCGCGATGCTTCCCAGGGGCGCTGCTGGAGGCGGCGCCAGGGTGTTGAGACCGCCCTGGACTACTTTCGAGTCGGGCCTGTCCCTCTACAGGGGGAATATTCAAAAATAGCAAAAAAATTGTCTGGGGACCATTTTTTGAATATGTTTGGTATCTTTCGAGCATTTTTTAAAACATTTGTCCGTCCAAAATCCCTCTGTAGGGGGACACGCCCGACTTGAGACTGCTGGGGAGGGGCGGCGGCGGCCAGCTGGGACTGCCTCAGGGGGTGCTGCCTGGGCACAGCCCGAGGCCTCCGCAGATCGACGGCAGCTCCCGGTCCGTCTCGAGCGAGCCTCGCGGTCGGTGCCGTCGCGGGCGATGTCCATCGGAGATAGCGCCTCGCCTGCCCCGCAGCGTGCGCCATCGGTTTCGGGCAGCATTGGCTGCTGGGCATCGTGCCCCTTCTTGTCCGTACAGTCGGGGCCCTGAAGAAGGAACCTTTTTCGTTGGGCAGGGGCTCCGCGTTCCTTACGCGTTTCGCAGCTTGCCTCAGGGTTTCCTTAGGTTTTCGACGGGAAATCGAAGCGTAACTTATGGAAAAAAGGGGCCTCGTTCCTTAGTTAGGGTTCCTTAGGTCAACGCCCCGACTGTACCCAGCCCGGGCGTGCCGAGGAGCCTCCTGGCCGGGACCTCGAGGGGAGTCCGGCAGTGCTTTGGAGGCTCCACTGCAGTGGCAGTGGGTCGGCCAGGGATCGCTCATCCTTCTCCCAAGGCCAACGTCACGCTCGACAACGGGCGTGGCCGGGGTCTGGGTGGAGGTGGCCGGTCACGTCCCGGTTCGCGCCTGGGCCGTCTGGTGACGCCCAGTCATGGCTGATTCCTGGACGGCGCTGGCGCGAATCGTGACGTCACCAGGAAGGGGGGGGGGCTGGGCAGGTCAACCGGCTGCGAGCGAGGGGGGGAAGTGAACGCTCAGGAAGATTCTCAGACGGCCTGGGGACTTCCGAGACTTCTGAGAGGGCCCGCCACTTCTCACTTCCCCCCAGGGCTCGCCGCCGAGTCAAGGGCGTCATTCGCAGGCTTAGAGGTTGACACCAACACCGCGTTCCTCCACCGAGGGAAGAACATCCCGATCTCGGTGATGGTGACAATATTCTGGCTTCTAAGGTGAACGAAATATTATCACCAACACCGAATTCTAGGATCGTCTTCCCCCTTTGGAGGCACCCCCCTGTGTTGGTGCTGGTGCCCATTTCCAGGCCTCCAACTCCCTCCTTTCTATCCAACCTCGTCTGCCCTCCCCGCCGCGCAGACCCGCGCGCAGGCCGTTGGGAGCCTGTGCCGTGGCGGTTCACCGCACCTCCTCTTCTCTCCTTGTCCAGGGCCTGCTTTGCAGCCGGAGGCGTCTCCGTGGCATCGCTCGGACGTGTGCATTTTTCCTTCTGCGAGGACTATCGAGGAGTATCCTCGATCATTTGGCGAAATAACCACGCACGAAACCGAAAAAAAACACAGGGAATGGACGTCCGAGCGATGCCGAGTTGCAGCCCGAGGCGTCTCTCGGCGGTCCCGGGGGCGCGAAAGTCTGGACCTCCCAGATGGGGTCGGAGGGTCGCGCCGCGTGTCCGATGCATCGGCGATGCGACTCGATGTGGACCACGATTTTCTCAACGCCGATGCCGCCGACGCAACGCCGACGTCGCGGTGCATCGTCGATGCGTCGGCCATGCGGCGCGCTCCTCCGACCCCATCTGACCCGACCCCATTTGGCAGGCCTCCAGGCCTGTCCTCTAGGCTCCTAGGAAGAGGGGGATGAAGCCGCAACCGCATCAGACAAAAGACTCCGATTCGGAGTGTTCTGGTCTTCGGGGGTCTTGGGCCAGGTCACCCGCGGGGGCGCGAGGAGGATGGCGCTCCGCGCGCCGCGGCTCGATCCGGCGCGGCAGCGCGGCTGCCCTGCTCCAGGGGGGCGGCGCGAGGGCGCGAGGGCGCCCAGCGATGCCCCTGCTTCGCGCGTCGCCGGGCGCGGTGCGCGCAGCTTCATGACCTGTAGAAGCGGTCACGACGCTGAGCGAAGGGCCCCTTCTCGGCGCAGCAGGGCTCTGTTCTGCGGGCCGCTCTCCGGATCTGTGTCTGGAAGCCCAGTCGTGGCCGAGGCTCGCCGTGGCCAGAAAGACGCTCCTGCTTCCTGATGGTGGGTCCGCGTCGTGTCGGCGACTGCGCCGCAGACGTTCCACGTTGAACGCGCCAGCGACCCGGCATCGGTCGATGTTGAAAGATCTGACGTGCCGGGAACGTCGAATCCCGCGATGTCAGGGACCAGCGCCGACGTTGGCAGGACAAGACGAGCCCTCGGCCCTCAGCTCTCCTTGTGGAAGCGCGACGACTGTACGCGGCTGCTGCTCTCGAGAGACAAAGCCGCCCTGCAGCACCTCCGCGCCGGGGTCCCTCAGCACCGCCGCCGCCACGACGGCGACCAGCGGTGGGGCGATGGACCCCCCGCCCAGGACGCGGCCGCCGCCATCCGCCGCCGCCGCCGCGGCCGCCGCCCGCCAGCGCCGCCTGGGCCGCCGCCGACGCCGTCGACGTTCGAAGATGAGCAGCTGCATAAGCATGCGGGGTCGTCGATCGGGTTTCGGGGTTTTGGGTAATTTTTCTCTGCTGTCACGCCCCCAGGAAAGGGGGGGTGGTCTAGCGGGGATCGACGGGATTCATGATGAAAAAGAGCACAGACACAATGAATCGTCGATTCCCAGGAAAACATGCGAAACTATGGGAAGTGGGGGGAAGACAGAAACCTTGAAAATACATGAAAATATGGAGACTCCTGGGATTTGTATCTTTTTATTTGTGTGTGTGTGTGTCCCAGGGCCCCTTGGGATGTGCGGCAACCCACCCCCCCACCCCACGCCCCACGTCGCGATTTTCCTGCGGCGCGGACCTCTGGGGATGGTCGGACACTGCCACGAGCCCTGCGCTGCGATCTCGTGCGCGACGCAGGGAGGGCTGGGCCTGGGACCAGGAGGCGAGGAAGAGCAACGGCATTAACGTGATGTTTCGGAAGCCCACGCGGGCCTCAGGAATAAGTATGTTTTCCTTCTCCGCCAGAGGAGCGTGCCGGTACGCTGAGCAGCCACGTGGCCTACGCGAGCAGATTTGCTGGCCCACGCTCTGCTGACCCTTCTTTGTCCAGCCCCCGACAGGAGGAGCCTGCGGATTCGCTGGCCAGGTACGTGACCCACGTGGGCTGATTCGCTAACCCGCTCCCCCCCCCTCGTTGAGCTCCGTTTCGTTCGCCCCCCGACAGGAGGAGTGTGCTGATATGCTGACGGGCACGTGACCCGGCCCCACGTGGGCTGATTCGGAAGTCGCCCCTTTGTTGACAATCCCTTTCGTTTGAATCTGGCTGGGTTGCATCGACCCCGACTCGCCCGTTCGTCGCCAACAGGGGCCTGATAGCTCCGCCCGGCCCAGGAGGGCGCGGATTCGCGGGGCCTGTCGCCGATCTATCGGCGATGCATCGCCCTTACTAGGTCGTTGTTTCTCCGCCCCTGAGTCCGCCCCCCTTATCGTTACCCCCCACTCTCTCACCGGCTTCCCCCGACAGGAGGAGCCTGCTCACACGGAGCTTCGGCGAGCTGACCATGAACGGCGTCCGCCACAGCGCGCTCACGCTGACGAGCACCGCGCTCGGCGGTGGGGCGCCATCTGGCCACCTCGCTTTCCGTCGCGGTCTGCCGCCGCCGCCGCCGTCGTCGTCGCCGTCGTTGTTGTCGCCGTCGTGTGTCGTTGTCGTCGTCGTTGCCGCCGTCGTCACCGCCGTCGCCAGACGCCGCCGCCGCCGTCGCCGCCGTCGTCGACGATCGGAGGGGGTCCGCGGTCCAAAATCGAGGCCTCGGTCGGAGAAGATGCGTCGGCATGTCGCGCGGAGGTCCGCGCGGAGGTCTTTGGATCGACGCTGCCCCCTCCCCCCCCCGCGGCGCCTCTGGCGCCGCCCTCGCTGGGGTGCACTTGGCTGTGGACGCCCTTCACATTCTGAACTCTGATTGCTGATTGGCGTTCCAGAAATCTGGCATGTAATGCCATAGTGCTCACGCGTTGTGCTTTTCCATCGTGTCGGGCGACTGCCAGAGGACAGCGCGCTGCGGCGCGATACTTTCATCGGCGCGTCAGTGCGTCCTGCAATCGGCTCGCTTATCGCAGGCTTGGCCGCCGAGGCAGGTCTGGAGGACGCAGGTGATAAACGAAGCCACGAAAAGATGCCACGACCGCAGGCGGACGGAGCGAGTCATTACAGATCGATCCCCAGCGTCGGAGCAGCGCTGGAAGAACCAGGTGGACGTTCACGTGAGGCAAAACTTGGGGCGCGAGGCCGTGATTGCCGAGTTTCTCCCCTTCCTTTCTGAGTCGAAGTTCCGAATTTGTCTTCAATGAGTTATGGTGATTGTTGCCCGCGGATTGGTGACACCATGTACGTTTTGTGTGGTGCACCCTGGGGGTCATTGACTTCTTGCGAGGCACTTAGCTATACTTTTCTGCGGGTGCGACGTCTCGCTCTTGATTGGGTCAGAGTGAGTGTCGTTGCCTATTCAGTCTTGCTGTGCGTGTGTGTGTGTGTGTGTGTGTGTGTGTGTGTGTGCGTGCGCGCCGACTTCGGGGCGCCGCGGCGCGTCTCTCCACAGGGGGGCCGCTCCTTGCGCGCTCCGCCCCACCTCGCTCTGGCCTTCGCTCCGACGTCACCTCTTCGGTGTTCCCCCCTCGCGGCTGCCTCCGCGGCATGATGCCCTCCCGCCCCGCCTCGCCCGGGCCTGCCCCCCTCCCGGGGGTGCCTGCTTTTGCCGCCACCGATCGCCACGCTGGTCACGTGTGACCTCGGCTCCCCTCGGTGCGTTGGCTCTTCTGCAGCTCCTGCTGCCTCGGGCTGCCCCGTCCCCGCGGCCTCCGCCCTTGGCAGGGCCGTCCACACCGCCTCCCCCTGCCTGGGGCCTGGGCTGGTTCTGCCGCCCGCGCCCTGTCCCACTCGCCCTTCGCTTTCCCTGGTTTTCTGGCGGGCCCCTCTCTTGAGGCGGTCCTGCACTGGTCGCCGCTAGCCCGGTGCCCTCTTGGCATGCGTCACCTCGGCACCATGCGGCCCTCGGCGCCGCGTGCCGCCTCCGCCCGCGCGGGGGCGCCGTGGCCTTCGCGTTTCGCTGCCGCCGCACCCCCGCCCCGCCTCGCCCCGGCCACGTCCGTTTGGAGGTGCCTGCTCCAGCTGCCACCGGCCGCCACGTTGGTCACGAGTGACCTCGCTTCCCCCGGTGCGTTGGCTCTTCTGCAGGCTTCTGCTGCCTCGGGCTGCCTCGTCTCCGCGGCCTCCGCCCCAGGCTGGGCCGCCCACCCCGCCCCCCCTCCCGCCTGGGGCCCGGGCTGGTTCCGCCGCCCGCGCCCTGCCCCGCGCGCCCCCTCGCTTCGCCTGGTCCCCAGGCCGGCCCCCTCCCCTCCGCCGGCCCCGCACTGGTCGCCGCCGGCCTGGGTGCTCTCGCGGCTTGCGCCACCTCGGCATCACGTGGCCCCACGCGCTGCGTGCACACCTCTACGCAAGCCTTTGCTGGGCACGCGCATTGCGGCTTAATTCGCGTTTGTATGTCCTGCCAATGCCCTTCCGTCAGCGCAGTCATTCTGCCTAGCCGCCGATGCAACAAGTGTGTGTGTGTGTGTGTGTGTGTGTGTCTGTTTTTTCTTGTGTGTGTTTGTGTGTGTGTGTGTGTGGGTGCCGTCGTTCTTTGTCTCGCCCCCCCCCGTCTCCCCCCCACTCCCCGCGGCCCGAACGAGTGACTCGGTCGATCTCTCGTGGGTAAAGCCCAGCCCACACGCGCGGTATCTGGGCCGGCCGCGCGCGTCTGTCCGCCCGATGTTCTTCGCCACGACGCTGCGCGCGCTGCCGCGACCCCGCACCGAGTGTGTGTCTGTGTGTGTGTGTGTGTGTGCGTGTGTGTGTGTGTGTGTGTGTGAATGTGTGACATTGGGCCCCTGTTCCTGAGGGGTGCGCTTGTCCGACCGTAGGCCACACGGCACGGCGGCCCCACGGCGTGCAACATGCACAGCGGCGCCGGTGTGGCACCCTGTCCCAGGCTTTTGACAGGCAGGCGCCTGCGGGGTCCCGGTCGACACCTTCGGTATGCAGCAGCGCCCGTGCGCGCGGAGGCGGGGGGTGGCCTCGAGACACGCGCGCCGAGGCCTTTCTCTCGCACTCGTCACGGTCAGCGGCTTTGACTCAGGAGGGGAAAAAACACACAGACACAATTAATCGTCGACTCCCAGGAAAATATGGGAAAATATGGGAAGTGGGGGGGGAAGACAAAAACACAGAAAATATGCGAATATATGGGGAATCCTTTTTATTTGTGCGTATTTATTTGTGTGTCCTTGGGCCCCTCGTTCGCGACGGGTGGGCATCTTGTGCCGCGCGGCCCGTGGATGTCCAAGAACCGCCCGTGGCGGTCGAGCTTGTTCTGCATCTCAACTATAATAGCCTCTACGGCGTTGGCCTTCTGCGATAGTTTGTGGTTTCCCAAAACCGTTTCCGGTCCGTTTTAACACTGCGTATCAGAGAAACCCGTCGCCGACCTGATAGCGCAGAACGAAAGAAGCATTTGCCAAGCTATTACAAGACCTTTGCCGAACAAATGCGTCACAAGGGTATATCTGCAAAAGGACAAAACCCACAATCTCAGGGATGCCGCAGGCAAAGAGTGGGGCGATTGGGGGAGGAGAGGGTCGGAGGAGCTGACTTTTTTTGGATTCGGTTCAATTGCGCCGTGAGGAAAAGACGCGAGTCCGTCACGGCAAGTGCCTGGGGGAACGGCGAGGTGGGGGCGGGGTGCGGGGTGGGGGGAGGCGGGGCGGGTGTAGTTCAGGGCCTGAAGAAGTCGATGTGCAGTTGCCTCGCGCGACGAGACCGAATCAGCAGGGCCAGATGTTAATGTACATGGCTGTGGGATCGGGGAGTTTGGAGGGGATCTGAACTGGCGGCTCTGCGCTGGGCCAGGAGTGGGGTGCGCTTGGGGGCTCGAGAAACGAAACAGAGCTGAAATTGCCAGCGTTGGAAGCGTCATGGAGTGACGGCGCGAGTCTCCGAGGGTAATGGTGTGTGTGTGTGTGTGTGGGTGTGTTCGTGTGGGGGGATGCAGGATGGGGCGGGTGGCGGGATGGGGCGGGTGGCGGGATGGGTGGTATTTATTGGCGCAGCGACGGCGACGGGCTGCTGCTCTACGCGTCGCATCAGGTCCCCTGTAACAAAAATCCGTAAGGGCTTCGCCCCCTGCCGCCGGCCCCCTCTCTCGGAGAATGGGCCATGGAAGAGCTAAGTCATGAGGCCTTGGCGCTGTCGTGAAGCAGTATCGAAACTTCATGCGAAGCCGATTCGCAATCAGCAAAACCAACTGATCACAAGAGGGGTTACCACACCTGGCGATTGGTAAGACGTGTATGGTTTACGGGCTTGGTTACCACACCTTGCGATTAAAGGGCCGAGGGAGTTCTCGCAGTTTGGGTTACCACGCCTTGCGATGGATGTGCGTGAAGGGTGGCACCGAATTTCAGAAATGTGGCAAATCCCCTGTGTTTTTGGACCCTGACCCCGCGGATCTGCGTGAGGGGTGGCACCGAATTTCAGAAATGTGGCAAATCCCCTGTGTTTTTGGACCCTGACCCCGCGGATCTGCGTGAGGGGTGGCACCGAATTTCAGAAATGTGGCAAATCCCTTGTGTTTTTGGACCTGACCCCGCGGATCTGTGTGAGGGGTGGCACCGAATTTCAGAAATGTGGCAAATCCCATGTGTTTTTGGACCCTGACCCCGCGGATCTGCGTGAGGGGTGGCGCCGAATTTCAGAAATGTGGCAAATCCCATGTGTTTTTGGACCCTGACCCCGCGGACCTGCGTGAGGGGTGGCACCGATTTCAGAAATGTTGCAAATCCCCTGTGTTTTTGGACCCTGACCCCGCGGATCTGCGTGAGGGGTGTCGATTTCGAGCCCCCCCAGCAATTCAGACAACGCGCCCATGGGGTGCTAAAAAGCCGGTGTGGGGCCTCCCCCCCCTCGCGCGGTCAATCAACTAGTTACAGTAACCAGCAATAAGTCAACTAGTTGCAGTAACCAGCAAGAAGCAGAACTGTAACACTGGAAACTACAAGCTACAACTGGTACAGGAAACTGCGAACCTCGCGCCTACAGCCTGGTTGCCCCACAAGGGGGCCGGCGGATTAGATACACTCGATTCTGTACATGCACGAGTTAGGGCAGATCCCCGAAGGATTTTGAGTAAACCTTTTGGGTCGGGTCGGGCTCAGTAGCGGGGCGCCCCCGAGGTGCAAAGTATTCCATTTGTCCGCAACGGATGGAAATACTTGAGGTTGCCACGAAAGGGGGGCGTCAGTGGAAGGCGGCGCAACTCACCGAGGGCCGGCCAGGAAGGAACGGGGAAATTTATTTCGTTGGGGAACTCATTCGGTGGTTGGGTATTCGATGGGGCAGGGGCCACGGGCCGGCATCTGCGCTGGCTGTCATTCGTGGGGGTCGCCGCGACACGACGGCTGGCTGGGGGTAGGGGGAGCCGCCGGTGTGTTCTTGGAGGCGCCCGCGGGAACACGGCGCGCGTGCTCCCGCTCCTACCCGGCAGCTTCGCCACTGGCGTGGACATGCCAGTGGGCTGGGG